CAGATGCTGGGCCGGCAGCTTGCGAAGGGCCGGGGGCCTGGAGTCTGTGCTGGGAGGTGAGGGGGGGCCAGACCATGCTGAGGCCCAGGCCAGAGAGTCTGGTCCCCAGTGGGACCAACTGGGAGGTGCAAGGACCCCATAGAGGGTTGAAGAGTGTCCCCCCAAAATTATATCCACCTGGAACCCCAGAACATGACCTCATTTGGAAAAAAGGTCTCTGTGGATGTAATCAGTTAAGGGTCTTAAGATGAAAAATCATCCTAGATTTAGGGTGGGCCCCTAAATCCAATGACTGGCGTCCTTACAAGAAGAGGAAGAGGGACACAGAGAGCAGGAAGTCATGTAAAGATGGAGGCAGAGATTAGAGCTATGTAGCCCCTAGGCCAAGGAACGCCTGGAGCCACCAGAAGCTCAAGTGGCAAGGAAGGATTCTTTCCTACAGCCTTCGGAGGGGGCATGGCTCTCTTGCATCTTGATTCTAGACTTCTGGACTCCAGAATTGTGAGGGAATGAATTTCTGCTGTCTTAAGCCACTGGGTTTGCGGTAACTTGTTATGGTGGCCCCAGGAAACTAAGAGATTCAGGAGGTGAGAGGGGAAAGCCTCAGGGCGGAGCAGGCAGCTGGCTGAGGGGTGAGAGCTCCTCAAGCAACCCCTGGGTCTGTGAGGGTGCAGTGGACACGGCCATCCTGTTCCCTTCCCCAAGGCTCCGTGGGACCTAGGGCAGGCCCCAGCACAGGCAAAGCCTCACGGTCCTCCAGAAACGGGCCTCCACTCTGGGAGCGGGCGGGTGAACTCGGGCAGGGAGGGCCTCTCCTAGTTAGGCTGGTTTCCTAACTTGTGCTGTGGTGGGAGGTCCAGGGACGGCTGGCGGCTCCAGCCTTGGCTATAAGTTCACCTCAGTCACCTCTGAGATTTTAAAAATGCTCATGCCTCAGCCAGCCTGTGAATCTCCCAGCCGCCCCCCAGCAGGTAGTGCTAAGGTGCAGCCAGGACAGAGAACCCGGGAGGGACCCATGGGAAACCCCAGAAGAGTGTTGCTTCGAATCCTCCCCTCTCCTCCCCCTACAGCCACCTGCCGAGGCCTGAAACCTCCCATTCTGGCTCCAGTGCAGGTTTCAAACCGGTGGCCCGAGGCCCAGGCCTGCAGGTGTGTTTCATCTGGTCTTTGGGAGGAGAGACGGGGGCGGGGGCGGGGGCAGGCCCACCCAGAGGGTCACGTCTTATCACAGCGCAGGCACCAGAAGGTGTCTTCCACAATAAATGTTGAAAGGAAGTACTTAGTCGGGATTTTATCCAAGAGAGTCACTGCAGACGTGAATCTCACTCACCAGGCTGTTTGTGAGTCTTGATTTTTCACTTCCTCAAGTGAGTGGATTTAGATGCAGTGATGGGCGGGGCAGTGAGAGGCTGGGGAACAGATGTGTCAAGAGGAGGACAAGGTGCGCATGTGCAGGAGTGCTAGGCAGGAGGTGACAGAAGACCTGCTTTCCTGAGGCCCGCAGGCCGACAAGGTGGCATCTCCTCGGGACCTGCCAGGCAGACAGGACCCCCTGAGAGGTCTAGCAGGGGAACCCAGCTCTGCATGCCCCGGTCCTCACAGGGCATCAGGCCAGCCCCTGGAGCCTCAGGCATGTTCAGCCCCAGGCCGAGGGGGGACTCACTGACTGCCACCCAGGATGGGGCTGAACCCCCTCCGCCCTCCGTGCCCTGGCTGAGGGCAGGGCCAGGTTCTGTGGCCAGGTCGTTTTTTCCTGTCTCTCCAGACACAGAGTGCAGCCCTTGACAGACATCTGCTGTCAGAACAAGTGAACGAGGAGGGGGGCCGGGACAGAGCAGGAGGCACCCAGAAAGGACGGGAGGGAGGGAGGGTGACTCCATCTTGGGAAATGACTGGGCATCTCTGCTAATCGAGGTGGGGGCTCCGCTGGGCCGTACTGGCTGATGGACAGGACAGGACGTTTGTGGGAGGTGGTGGGGAGTGGTTACTGTGGTGGGGGACGACTAGGAACATCCCCCAGAGCCCATGGGGATGTTGTCTACTTCCCAAATGTCCCTGCCACCATGTTAAGAAAGACAAAAACAAATCACATTTCCCCCTCTCCATCTCCAGAGAATTCATTAAAATGAGCCTGTGTGTGCACAGAATTGGACCCCGGCCTCCCAGCCTAATTACCACTAAAGGGTATTGAGAAAGAAATTCGACCCGCTGCAATAAAAAAAAATGTGAGGAAAGCCTGCAGTGGGGAGGGCACGTGCTTCCCTCTGGGCAAGGACATCTCCAGGACATGCGGCCTCTGTGGCCCCTCCATCTGGAGCGGTCTAAAACCAGGGCAGATGGCGCCTCTCCAAGCCACTGTGGTATCAACAGGACTGGACACCAGCTACGGACGGTCCCTGTGCTGGGCCCCCGAAGGCCATAGTGGATCCAAGAGTCCTGGCCTCAGCCACGCCCAGAGCCCATGCGGGAGCCAGGGCACACGGAAGTTCCTATAGAGCAGGGAGGCCAAATGAGCCCTGAGGACCCGAGGACGCTGTGCTGGGGAGAGGGGGCCCCCGGGGGGCATGGAGCACAGGGAGGGCCCCACCCACACAGCAAACATGTACTCTGAGCCTTGATGAGTCAGAAGAATTTTTCACAGCAGAGAAGAGGAGAGGGAAGGCAGAGGTGACACCATGAGCTAAGGCACCGAGGTGTGATGGTGTCACTGTATGGGCAAGCAGGAGGCCCAGTGCACCATGGGATGCAGGACAAGCAGTGGGCAACGGAGATGACACCAGAGATGGAGGTGGGCTGAGATTTTGAGGGCCTCAAACAACGCAGGGAGGAGCTGAGGCTTTGATCCACATCAACGAGGGCCCCTGCAAAGGCCCTGAGGCCACTCTGCTGCCCATTACTATCAAGAACACCAACCAGCCAAGAGTCTCACTGTTTTCAATGGGACATCAACAAGAGGCATTATAAATAACTTTATACTAAAAAAACACTAATAAAATATCTGAGATTATACACACATAGACACACACATACACACACATAAATGAATACCAAGTCAGACTTCAGAACCAGCCAGTCAGAGCTGTAATCTAGAATGCAGTAGAACTCCCCTATCAGAGGAGAGGCCTCAGGCAAGCCCGCAGTGGTACCAAGCCCAGGCCCAGAGCGGACATGACGAAGACAGAGCGTGGCCGAGACATTCCAAAGCCCACGCCCAGGGCTGTGCACATCACCCGGGGCCCCTCTCCCAGGGCTTCATGTTCTCACCCTGAGTCAGTTCACACCGAGTCCACTAGTTACCTGGTATTTCAGACGACAGCAGAGGAAAAGCAGGGAGGCAGAGAGGAGGGCTGTATTTGAGGCAAAGAAGATGATGGGTCCAGAGGCAGACAGACAGACTAAAGAGCAGACACAGCACCGTACTCTGCAGTCAGCTGTGCTCTGCATCCTCTGTGAGTCCAGGAAGGCGAGGGACCTCTCAGCACAGCAGTCCCCAGTGTGTTCTATAAATTATACGTCCTTGGAGGACTCGATGACAAAAGGATTCCATGATCAAATACATCTGGGAGATTGTGCACACCACATCCCTCTTTCAGCAAATCAAAACCGCACGCTGCTGTAGTAAAGGCTCTGAGAAGTCCTGCAGCAGAGAGGTTGACTCACTTTTGTCACCACTGTTCCCTGAATCCACACAAGCACTAACCTTCCTGCCAGGCTTTCTTCTCAAGTAACACCTACTAACATCTCTCTGGAACCAGTATCGCATAGAACCCACTGGCTTAGAAAAACGCATGATTGTTTGTCTCTATCTTAAGGAAGAAAACAGTATCTTTTTTCTTAAAAATAGTTGAAAGATAAAATTTGGTGCCTTTTGTGAAAAGCTACAGTTGCAGGGAAAATTCACTTCGTTGGCAAAATCCCCCCACTCACCAGTGGGGCCAGGACAGTGAATGTTACTGACCCCCAGGAGCTCAGCCTTGGGGCCACCTGGAGCCACCGAGGTCATTCTGTCCGGCCTCCTGCCCACGCAGAGCACTGCAAGCCCATCACACCAGTCTCCCCAGGGAGGAAGTGCCTCGGCAACTGTGAGTGTGTGTTTGTGTGTGTGGGTCCAGTGTTCACATGTGCATGTGTGTATGAAGGTCCAGTGTATGTGCGTGTGTGCGCACGCACATGAAGGTCTGGGGTACGTATGTGTCCACATGTGAAAGTCATGTGTATGTGAAAGTCTCATGTTCATGTGCCTACGTGTGAAGGTCCAGGTTGTGTGTGTGCATGTAAAGATCTGGGGGGGTTGCGTATACACGTGTGTGAAGGTCTGGCAAACGGAACCAGGCTTGAGGAGCAAGTCCTCCCCTGCTCTAACTTCCCCTCCCTCATTCCGCATCTCGCCTGCCTCCTCCACATGACAACCCCCCAAGTAACCAAACACGGGAATGTCTGCACCTGCCCGTGGGGAGCAAGAGAACACATGGAACCTGTCCTCTCTCTATTTTAGAATTTCTCCCTGGGAAACGTTTCCTTTACTGAGGCGTGTATTTCAGAAGGGCTCAGGGATGAGGCCGGCCCCGTGGCCAAATGGCTAAGTTCGCGCACTCCGCTTTGGTAGCCCAGGGTTTCGCGGGTTCGGACCCTGGGCGCGGACACGGCACCACTTGTCAGGCCATGCTGAGGCGACATGCCACAACTAGAAGGACCCACAACTAAAATATACAAGTACGTGCTGGGGGGACTTGGGGAGAAAAAGCAGGAAAAAAAAAGAAGATTGGCAACAGTTGTTAGCCCAGGTGCCAATCTTTAAAAAAAAAAACAAAAGAAGGGCTCAGGGTCTTTGCTGGGCTGGGGCCCGTGCACAGGCAGGAAGCTCCTCTAAGGCAAGACGGACGCCCTTGGATGCAGGGCCCCCTCTTTCCTCCCAGCATGAGCAAGCCTGCAGAGAGGCTGGTGTGGTCCCCAGGTGGTGTCCCGTCTGCAGGCAGGTGCGGGGTGGGCGAGGACCTCACCTGGTATGTGTTGTCGAAGCTGTCATACATGAACCGCGTGATCAGAGACGTCTTCCCAACTGCAAAACAAGAAGAGAGGGTCAGCTACGGGCCTGAGCAGGCTCCTCTGAGCACACCTCATGCGAAGGAGACAGACAGCGAAACAGAAGGCCAGAGCTGCAGCAACAGAAGTGGGAGGCCGACCCGGACAGGGACCCGAGGCGAGGCGGCCGAGTCTACAGAGTGGGCTGCAGTGGGGTTCCTGCCAGGCACCAAGGAGGAGGCCTGCCCTGTGAACTCTCACCACCCAGAGCCAGGTCCATGGCCCACAAGAGCCTGACTGAAGCAAGGGCCACAAGGAAAGACTCAGAGCAAGTGGGTGTAAGAGAAATGATCCTCTCACATGGCCCCTGTTCACTGGAAACACAGCCTTACCCTTGATCACAGGCTGCGACGAGGCAGGCCCTTCACTGCCTGTCCATTCAGCCTGGGCCCTGGGGGGAGGCTGGCTTCCCAAGGCCCCCGGGGGCAGGGGAAGTAAATGGGTCACTCCCCAGTGTCTCTCACGGCAGGACTATTTCTTGTAGTGTCTGCCTGACTGTCCAGCTCCTCGCAGGATGTTTAGCATCCCTGGTAAATGCCAGCAGGATCTCCAATCACTGTGACAAGCCCGGACTTCCCCCACATTTGCAAATGCCTTCGAAGGGCGGTAACACACCCAATCGAGAACCACCCATATGGCTGAGAAGCCAAGGTCTCCTGGGAGTCCCACAAATGCTGCTAATTTCCCAAACTGCAGGGTTTGGCTTCTGACCTACCCTGTGCAGGTCCCCTGGGGCCTGGCAGTGGCAGAAACACCTACTGCAGCATTTCTGACCATCTGGGAGGGGAGGAAAGGTGATGGCTGATGAGGAAACATCTGTTAGGTCAGGCCCAGCATGGGGTGCTTCTCTACACTGTCTCACGAGTCTCTGCCATGGCCCCGGGAGCGAGGGTAGGACCGGCCCAGCTGAGCTTGGCTCAGAGCGCCTTGTGCTCCAGGCTGCCCAAGACAGACAACCTTGGCTGGGAAAGCAAAAGAGCCAGTGCTGAGAGTTCTCCATCCTGTTGCTGCCCGGTTCTCAGACAGGGCGTCCACAGGCTGGGCCCGGCTGGTGGCTGGTCAGTCCTGGATGGAGCAGGCAATCCAACTGGGCTCCTCTGGGACAGGTGCATTTCCAGGTGCGAAGGTTTAATAGTGCACCACATCAGAGACAAGAATGAGCATCGCCAACAGTCGACATTTGAAAGGGATAGGCAATCATCTTCTAGCCAGAGGAATATCCGACAGACTGTGTTTGGGGCATATTTAGACGGTCCCATCTTTGACCCAGAATTGGTCAGGTGGATTCAAATCCTAGCCGGGGCACTGTTTAGCTGTGTCATTTCGAGGTGGTCACAGCCGCTCTGGACCTCAGTTCCTCATTTTAAAATGGGTATAATAGCACCGAATACTTCAAAGGGCAGTAGCACAAATTAAATAAGATAGTAAAAGTGCCAGGCACAGAGGAAATGCTTAAAACGGGAAGGAGGTAGCAGGTCAGTAAGAGCTGAGGCTGTTTCCAGAATATCAGATAAAAAAAATACCACCACCACTGTTGCATTGACCTGGTCCGTCATTCTCTTCATCTGGCTGTTCCTGACCTGTGTCCTTTATAATAAACTGCAATCCTAAGTAGCGTGCTTCCCTGAGTTCTGTGGTTCTTCTGGTGAATTATGGGACCCGAGGGCCATGAGAGCCCCTCAGATTTGTAGCCAGTTGGTCAGAAGGGCAGCGTCCTTGGGGACCCCCACCTGTGGCTGGCATCTGAAGTGGGGGGCAGTCATGCTGGAGATTGTGCCCTTAAGCCTGGGGAGTCTGACACCAACTCTGGGTGGTAGGGCCAGGCCTGAATTACAGCACGGCAGCTCACGTCAGCACAGCCACATTTCCATTCTGAACACCTCGGGGGTGAGCAGCAACGCACCGAAGATCTCCTCTAATTTTACCTGGAAACCGCCCTGTGAGCTCCCGAGAGGCATTTAGTCTATGATGCCTTTCCAAACGCTTTAAACCTCCCCTTAAATTTCACATGAGGGTGAGCAGTGGGGGCTTCCCACACAGAAAGGCCGGGCTGCAAACTGCTAAGGGGACCACAGAGTGAAAAGGGGAACAACCCAGAGCCAGCAAGAGGCAGACAGAATGGAAGAGAACACAGCATCCTCCTTTTCCAAGAGACAGTGGAAAGTTACCACGTCCTGAGGAAGAGAAGGACTGGAGGGCCCACTGGTAATTCCCGAGGCAGTGACAGACCGCATCTTACACCTGGCAGGGGAAGAGCATTAGGGAGCAGTGTGGGGAGAAGGCAGGAAGACGCCAGTTTCCTTCTCTCAACTGGTTCTTCCCTGGGGCAGCTGAGCCAGCGGGGAGGAGAGACAGCAGAATTGCAAAAAGCCACTAAAGGAACAGGAGGTTGGTGGAGTAGCTGAGAACACAGAAATCCCTGCAAGTGCCAAGTCGCCCCTTCTAGAGACACCAGCCACGGGCAGTGGATTAGTACTGGCTCGTGGGGTAATGGCTAGGCAGAAGGAGAAAACCTCAAGAAAACAAGTTGCTTCTTGGGACTGTGCAGAAGAAACTTTGAGGGACAGGATCCTGGTCAGTGACAATATTTCTGAATATTTCTGAATATTCCCACAATAACCCTAATAGGCAACAGGTGAACCTTGTATTTATGGAGCATGCTCCAGGCACAGACTTACAGGACAGCAGTGAACATAAGAGATGGGACACCTGCCCGCGGGAAGCCATAGGAATTCTGTGCTTGCAGCAACACTGTACCAAGCCCTCAGCACCAGCCTGTTTAGTCCTCAACTCTGCAGCGGGTACTCATGTCACCCCATTTTCTACAAGGGGAAATGAGTCGACAGCTACTTGCCCAGGCCCAGAGCCGAGCAGGGCCAGGATGAGGTGGGTGGCCCAACCAGGAACTGAGATCCTATCCTCGACCCTCCTGGGCATTTCTGGGTCACATTGGCTGTCAGGAGTCTGCCAGGTCATTACTGCCACCACCGTGGAAGTCACGGAAGTCCAGCAGAGCCCCGCCAAGCCAAGACACCTTTTCCTTGGGACCGGCTAGAGGCAGGGGCTTCTTCCCACTTGAGCAGGGCTTGACCTAACCCGGAAGGTCAAGAACCAGGAACTGAGGTGCCCTCTGGGGCACAAGGAGGGCTCAGAAATCAAGGGTGGGTGGTCTTGAACTCCTGGGGCCCAGCACTCCACCTGAGGCCTGGACTGAACGACGGGCTCATCAGCGACCTGCTGCAAAAGCAAACGACTGCTTGTTCTTCCTCCAGGCCCGCTCCTCTTCTTTCTCAGAGCAGAAGCCCTCCTCTTCCTTGCCTCAGAGCTTCCCAAGGCCACCCAACCCCTTCTAGGGCTGCCAGGACAATGGCCCAGCCTCTGTCTGAACTAGTCAGCGTGGCCTCCCTGCTGAGACCCGTCCAGATGCTCGTCCTTCCCCGTGGGGCACACCTGCACTCCTCACTGCAGGTAACGGGGCTGCGGGGGTCCCATCTCAGCCCCAGCTTGAGCAAGTCTGACCGCGGGGCCTCTGCTCTGACCCTTGGCCCGAGGGGGCTGACCAGCTGCAGAGTGCCAACAGGAACTTCAGGAAAGGCGTCCTCCACACTTTGTCTCCAGGGGGCTTCCTAGGCCCCCGAGCAGAGCTCACTAACAGGAGCCCCTCACCTGCAGCTGTCCCCACTCTGCCTCGGCATCACATAAAGGAGATGAGCAGGTGAAGGGGCTGCCCTGGGCCAAGCCCCTCTCCCCCACAAACGGCGGCAGCCTCTCCCTCACCCCAGCCTCCACAACAGCGCTGGGTGGAAGGTACTGGAATCCGGAAACAGAGAGTGTGCACAGCCCATCTACCTGGCCACCCGCTAGTGTCACTCTGAAGGGTGGCAGGACAGCCGGAGCCATCATGGGACTGGGCACTACCACTGGGCTATAGCCAAGGGGATGTCCGAGAGGGGCAGCAGGGGTGGGTGGGTGGGAGGGGCCCTCCACCTCCCCTTGAGTTCCCCCCCCCCCCGGTCCGCCCCCCCCTCCCCCCGCAGCCTCTGAGAGAGCTGCCTCCCACACAGCTCTGTTCTCAAGGTCACACGTTCCATATCCCTCTTACAACAGCTCTCGAACACACTGCAGCAAAGCGGAGCTTTCTCTGAGGGCAAAGAGTCAGCTCCACCGGCAGGATTTTATTAAAAATAAGCAGGCAAATCATTATTGAACCCGTTTTTCTCTCTGCTCATGGCTCAGCAATATTCTTGTAATTTTCCAGCAGTTTAGTCCCACACGATTAAGCAGGGATTTGCATTTTCCCTCTTTCAACCAAATGAGGGTGAGAAAACTCATTCCTGAGCGTCTACCAGGAGCCTCTAGAAAGAAGGAGGCTCTTACTGGGCTTCTCCCAGGGCCAGACAAGAAATGTGGGGCTTTACTGAAGTAGGTTCCCTCACAGATCCTCCCCACGACCCGATGAGTGAGTTATTCTCCCTAAGGTCACACAGAGCTGGTATGCGGTGGGGCTGGTGTATAACCTGGATGGGACGCCCAAGTCCACGCGCAGTCCTGGTTTATGGAAAGGTCAGACCAGCAGCAAAGCAGATCACAAAGGCAGGGGCCAGGGGGCGGGGCAGTCAGGGGGGCAGTGGGGGGGGGGGCGTTGGAAGGTCCGGGTGGAAGGGGTAGGGCAGTTGCCAAGCAGTGAGAGGGGAGGGTGGGTGACAAGGGGTATTCTAGGTGGAGGCAACAGTGTAAGAGAATGAGCACAGACACTGAGGCAGAGATAAAAGCTCCTGAGAAGGGTCAGGAGATTATAGGCTGGGTGGGGGGTGGGATCAGAAGCCTGTCCAGGAGCCATGGGGGACATACACTTAGGAGCCCCTACATCTGATCTTTGTCTCCAGAAAAATGGGGCCAGATCAGGTGTATGAGGAGAAGAGTGAGTGACAAACATCGGTCAAGAAGCTCCCTGTGGCCGGTGGATTGATTTAAACT